TGGCATCTTGCACTCCTTGACTGTAGCTGACTGCAACTGAGGACTGTGCTACAGGGCTCGCATGTGTCCATTGTCGGGAGTGAGGCAACCGGAGATGGCGGCGGCTTCTTCGTCAGTGGAGGGCTAAAGCTCAGCGGAGCTTCCGTACATATTTCGGCTAGCGCAGCAGGGGGCTCCGGCGGTGGCTTCGTGTCGCTTGGCGATCTGGTGCTCGAGGATTCAGTGCTGAGCGTCCGGAACTCCAGTGCTGGAAGTGTGGCGGGCGGCTTCTACCTGGCTGATACGGCCACAATGGGCCTTCAGACATCGAACTTGACAGCCTCTCGGACTTTCATTCTTTGTGCAGTGGTAGTCTTGCTAGAGTCAAGTCATCTTGACATGTTGCTGTGGGCTTTTGGATCAACCCTGAACCCTAAACACTCAAACCCTAAAACGCTAGGCCCCAAACCCTGAGTCCGCTTTCCCTTGGCGTCAACATAGGTCGAAAGCACCAGGGCACTCCTCTGCGGAGGGTTTCAGGCCGGGGAGATGAGGCCTGGCTGTTAGGGTATATGGTTTCGGGTTTGGGGTTTAGGGTGAAGCCTTTACGGAGCATGTTTTCCTCCACAAGTTGTTAGGGATATTGAGTTTGCTGCAGATTGTTCATTGGTTGAGAGGAGTGTGCGGTGAACCCTTTGCTCCGTGGCAAGGTAGGGCATATATACTTGTCTTGAAGCATCAGTGCCCGACATGTTCTGAGGAAGCTTTTGCATTCGAATCTTCAGATGACTGGCAGCCTCGCCGAGAAGGCAATCGGCGGCTTCCTTGCTACAGGTGGTCTCACTCTGGATGGGCTCTCAGCAGGCTTCCATGTTTTCGGGAAGGCTTGGGCTCCGGGACACCAGTATCCGCTTGCATGGTCTTCAAGTTTATTGTGCTGAGGATTCTTCTTCCATGCATCTGCTCGATGTCCAGGGAGAGATGGCGGGAGGCCTTTCCGTGGACAGCGTCGAGTTGAAGAGATCCCGGTTGACCATCCAGCACGCCCGCGCAGTACAGGACTTTGCGGCTGTGTTTTCAAAAAGGGCAATCTTCGTCACGGAGGGATCGATGGTGAGGATATCTGATGCACACGCATCTAAAAAGAAATCGTCAACTGCTGCAATGTTCACTTCGGAAGGTCTTGTCGTTGCTGGTGGCTCGAGCGTTCACATTGAGCGAGCCACCGCGGCTAACAATCCTGGCATTCGTGCAGCGAGCATCGTGGTTGCAGACGGGTCTTTGCTCCGAATATCCAAAACGCACGCGCTCGGGGAGAGTCTTGGAGGGACTGGAGCTTTCGCTGTTGAGGGAAGCCTGCAAGTTCTTAACACCTCAACTGTCCGCATAGAGGACACAACAGCACTGGACTTTGCTGGAGGCTTCTGGTCCGGAAGTGGAGTTGTTGTGTCTGATGGGTCTTTGCTATTCCTACGCAACACGACCACTCCGATTGGAGCGGGAGGTTTCTTTACGTTGGGGGCCGTGGAGGTAAGCGGCAAGTCCAACATCAGCATCTCCCATGCTGCATCTGGCGAGACAGGAGGCGGCTTCATGTGCGACAAAGGCGTGCGGATTATGGGCGGCTCTATGGTCGAAATCTCTGAGGCCACATCAGATGACCAAGGAGGTGGGTTTGCTACAAATGGTGCAGTGGTGGTTTCGGACGGGTCCTTTCTCAGGGTCTCGGGAGCTCGGGCCGAATCGCACGGTGGGGGCTTCTATGCCATGGGCGATGTGATTGTTTCGAAGGGCTCGACAGTTTGGATCGACAACGCTGCCTCTGGCGCAGACGGAGGAGGGTTCCATGCCCGAGGCCTGGTGGAGGTATCCCGTCAGTCTCTGCTCAACATCTCCAGCACAGCCGCAACTCTCTCCGGGGGAGGGTTCATGGCCCGCAGCGCTTTTCGACTGGCCGCCGCCCGCGTGCTCGTCGCAAACTCATCAGCTGGGGAACATGGCGGCGGATTTTTTTGTGTTGGCGACGCGCTCATCTCGCAAGGCTCCAGCCTAAAGCTTGCCCACTGTGCGTCGGGGTCCCAAGGAGGAGGCTTCCAGGCTGAGGCTGCCGCGCGAGTGGTCGACGACTCTGCCGTGGACATTGAAGACTCGAAAGCTGTTGCAGGGGGAGGGTTCGGCTCCGTGGGCCCTGTGGAGATCAATGCCTCACGCCTGCAGCTGTTTCGAGTGTCCGCCGAGCAAGATGGTGGTGGCTTCCACGTAAAGGACCTATTCTTGGTGAACGGCTCGAAGCTGCATATCGACCAGGCCACTGCAGGTGGGCACGGCGGAGGCTTTGGCGCCGACGATGTGACTGTGCTCGCCTCGAACGTGACAATTGAGAACGTGGCAGCAGTCTCCGGCAGTGGGGCTGGTATCAATGCCCAGCAGGCTTTGCGCATTGCTGGTGGCTCAGTTGTCAGCATCTGGAACGCCACTGCCGGGCTGGATGGGGCAGGAATCCTTGCAATGCTCAGTTCCAGCATCCAGGACCTGGCCGAGGTCTCCATCGCATATGCTTTCGCCGGTGAGAGAGGTGGTTGCTTTTGGTCCGGACAGCTGGAGCTGTCGCACTCGAGGCTGGTGGCCTCGCAGTGCTCCTCGCGGGACGGCGGGGGTTTCCGCACGGAGAGCGCTTCGTTGACGCGGGCGCACCTGAGCATTTTGGGCGGCGCCGAGCGAGGAGGTGGCTTCTTCGTAGAGAGGAGCATGGAGGCCTCAGACTCGGAGCTGTGGGTGGCCGGCTGGCACGGCCAGCGCGGCCAGCGCGGCAGCATGACACAGCAGGCGGCCGACGCCGCGCTGGGCAGCGGCGCCTTCCTGCAGGGCCCTCTACGCCTCACGCGCTCGGCCCTGCACCTGCAGAACCTCCAGGGCAGAACCGCGCTGGTGTCGCGCTGCCTGGAACTCTCGCAGTCCTTGGTGGTGGTAAATGCCACCACGGCGGTGGGCATCTCTCTGCAGAATGCAGCCTGCAGCTGCGGCCGCGCCCTCCGCGTGGACGGCGCCCTCGTCGGCTCGGGTATCTCCTCGGCCCTGCTCTCTGTCGACCCGTGCGGCGACGAGACGCTGGCGGTGACGGATGTGTGGCTCCAGACTTCGCGCGCCGCCGTGGCAGAGACCACAGCCCACACCCGCGTTCGCAACGTGACCGTGGAGTACCTGGAGCCCCTGGATGCCGCAGTGCTCCTGAACGCCCCGAGCTTCGACGTGGAGTCCGCGAAGGTGTCCTGCGCTGCTTGCACGGACGGCGTGACCTTCGGCGTCGCCGATGGCTTCGGCCTGCAGGTGGTCAGCGCTTCGTGGCTCCGCTGCGGCAGCGAGGCGGCGCTGAACGACAGCTCCACCCAGCGCTGCGGCTGTGTGCCGCCCCAGGTGCCGGACAAAAGCAGCTTCGGCGACTACGTCAAGCCGTGGGAGACGCGGGACTACTGCGTCTACTGCCCGCCCAACTTCGAATCGCACGATGACGATGATGACTGCCACAAGTGCCCATTGCATAAGGCCGACTTGACCATGGTTTCAAAGCACAATAGAACGCAATTGTGTGTGCCTTGTACTTACAGAGATGCTAGCTCATTCATGGTGACAGCAGTCCGTTGCCCTCCTTCGTAGCACTGACGTAGTGAGCTCTTGTCCAGGCCTGGTCTGAGGGCACAGGGGATGCCTGCGTGGCCTGGCCGGCGCAGAGTGCGGTGCACGTGCCGCTCCTCTTGGCCGCGGTGGCCTTCGTGTTCCTTGCGGCGGCCGCCTTCGAGATCCTCGCCGCGCCACTGGCCATCGTGGACGCTGAGGCACCAGCAGGCCAGGGCCTTCTCGTCACTGTGCAGGGCCCCATGTGCAGTTTGCCCAAGCTGCTGGCAAAACACGTGCACCGCAGAGCCACCTACAGCTTCCGTGGCACGGGCTTGCCCTGGCTGGAGCCACAGGGTGCCAAGCGGCACGTGAAGGCCGGCGTCAGCCTGGGCCGCTGCAAGCTGCAGCTGCCACCGCAGCCGGAGCAGCCGCCCTATGCCTGTGCGACCAGTCGGGGCGTCCTACACGTCCACGGCTACGGGATGATACTGCTGCAGTGCTGGCTCCTCCTCTTCTTCTTGCTCCTCTTCCCCACTGCGCTGCTCGTAGTTCTAGTCTCGGGCAACGACCTGCCGCACGTGCTGGCGACAGCCGGCCTCCTCTTCCTGCTGCCGCTGACCATCTGCGCCGCAACGCTGCACCGGGCCGTGCCATGGCTGCTGCGCCGGCAGCGGACGCCGCTGCAGCGTGCGTGCCAGGAGTACCTTGATGGGCTCAGCGCCGGGCAGGAAGCGCTAGAGCTGCCAGAGGCCGACGAACGGGATCACCCGAAGAACCAGGGCCTGTCGATGAGCGCCTTGCAGCATTTCTGGGAGCACTTCAAGCGCTTCGTCCTCGAGAGGCACCGCGCCCCATACCTTTTTTTCCCTCGATTCTTCATGTGCTTCGCTCCCTCTCTGTCCCTCCCCTCGAAAGGAACATGCACTACCTCGTGGCCAACATCGTCGAGCCCCTCACAGAAAGAAGGCGGACATCCTTTGTGCGTCTCCTGGGCGGCAAAGAGGTGATGTATTTCGTGTCGCACAGTTGGGGAACCCCTTTCCAGCACTTTGTGCAATGCCTGCGCCGTCACTCGGACTATACTGCTGCCCCGGACGTCACCTACTGGATCTGCTCTTTTGCCAACAACCAATGGGACATCGCCAGCGACATCGGAGTCGGCGTGCTCGACAGCGCCTTTGCCAGGGTCCTCCTCGCGGGCGTGCAGGGTGTGGTCATGGTACTGGACCACGAGGTCCAGCCCCTCACGCGCCTCCCGTCCGCAAGCAGAGTTTGTAGCATGTACCATGCTACCTGCCCAGAGCTTGTGAAGGACGCACGTTGTCGTGGGTGCTTGTGATCTCTCAATGCGACCATTCTTGTCTGTGCGAATGAGAGTGAGTGTTTGTGTGTGTGTGCCCGATGAGGAGTCTGGTGTTTGTTCGAGCTCTTTCTCTCAAGCTCGCAGTCTCTCGGCGTGGTCTTCGCCACGGATCTCGGCATGCTGGGCGATGACCAATGCGACTCCGTTGGTGTAGCCTTGGAGCTCGGCAAGAAGATCAGAGACCTGCGAGTAGAGCATTGCCAAGCCTCCTGTGAGGTCGATAAGCAACGCATCTTCGCACACATCTGCATTGAGCTTGGAAGCCTAGAGCACATGGATGCCTTGATCAAGAATATGATTAAGGACATGCTCTGCAGGAACCTTCGGCATGCAAGCACTGCCACAGCCTGCCTCCGCCAGCAGCTTGAGGACGACTGACGCGCACATAAGTGTTTGCAACCGTTGGTGTCTGCGTCCGTCAGAGCCGGTGCCACCACAAATTGTTTAGTCTTGCCGACCACAAGCTGTCGGCATTTGAATTTGGAAAGCTCCGTTTTCATGTGCTGCATGTGCCGTGCAGCAAGTTTTTCCTGAGAACGTGCAGTTCGCCTCCCGGTCTTCGCCTGGCTGCTCGACCTACACAGCCTTGCGCCTCCCAGCTGCAGCTCGCTCGAATCATTCCTAAGCCCTCAGCCCTAAGCCCTAAGCCCAAAGCCCTAAGCCCTAAGCCCTAAGCCCTAAGCCCTAAGTCGTTCCAGAAGGAGTCCAAGCGGTAGGCAGCCTGGAACTGGCATTCTAGGGATTGCTTATGGGCATGCCAGTGATGAAACAAATTTGCAGAAGCAACGTAGTCTGGGAATGACGTGCAACAAGCTTTGGAAACGTGAGAAGTCTTTGTTTGCAGATGGGTAGAAGTTGACAGACAGAACTTGGCAAGCGCCACGCACGCCCTCCTTGTGGAGATGGGCTGAGGTGTTAAGGTTGTCTGCGCCTCAAGCCGTTGTAAGTCATCATGTTTTCCTGCAGCCGCCTTCAAGAGTAAGTCGGATGCCTTAATTAGACACTCAAGCAAAGTGGGTGGGTGGAGCACCGTTTTTAGTTTCTCCGACCTGCGGTCTTATCAGTGAAATGCTTGTCACAAGGCGCAGGCAGAAAGGGCATGCGTATGGCCGGGATTCCTGCAAGCAAAGCTGAACTAAGATGAATGAAGGAAGGAGTGGTGTCCTTTGTTGTGCAACTAGTTGCAGGAGTAGCTTGTCACGAACCCCGGCTCAAATCGCACATTGACATGTTAAGCGAGCAAGTTTGTCCCTCCATGCGGAGGGGAGAGGTCTATGCTGAGCCTCCCTGGCAAAGGAATGTGTCGAGGGAGGGCTTGCAGACTATGGACATACACGCAGTATTCGACCAGTGGTTGGCGAATGGTGCACCTGCCCCAGAGCAGCTTGTCCAGCACGTGCCAGTTTCACTTGCCGCCACTTGCTGTCGCCCCATCTCTTTGTGAAGACTCGGGGGCCAAAACACGAACTTCAGTCGAACGGGCTCGAAGCGCACGATGGCGGTCTGATTTGTCCCTCGAATCAGACTCTAGAGTCAAAACCATTCCCGCCACATCCATCGAACATGCCGCAACGGTTTCGGGTTTAGGGTCTACGGTTTTGGGATTTAGGGTCTAGCATCTAGGGTATTGTCATTCGGCATTGTGAGAATAAGCCGAAGGACTGCCGCAACCGAGGCATCCACCTGCAGGAAGTACCTCCTCTTTACAGTTTATTTCTTGTTCGACATGTTTTGGGAAGGGGGAATGAAAGGACAACATTGTGCCCTGGACAAGCAGCTTCCACATAAGCCCTATTTAAGCCAGCATCCACAGCTGCTCTGGACTAAGAAAACATTGCCAACATGTGCCACTGCATCATGTGGTTCTGCATGGCAAACAATCCATGTAGGGCAAGTCTTTGGGGGGTAACGCACAGCGGGAGTGCTCCGACACGCACGATCCCCGTCGAGGGTGCACGGTTCAGTTCCAAGATGTGCGAAAACGCACAGCGGGAGCGCTCCGACACAAAACGCACAGCAGGAGCGCTGCGACAAGCACGATCCCCGCAGAGGGTGCACGCGTAAGATCCAAAATGTGCGAAAGTGCACAGCGGGAGCGCTCCAACACGCACGATCCCCGCAGAGGGGTGCATCGCGCTAGCCGCAGTGAAACCCACCCCAGCCTAAGAAATAAGAGAGAATTGAATAGACAGCGTACAGAAGCGATGCAGCTGAGATGGTACTGTGGTGATGGTAGTGTGGTGATGGTAGTGCGATGCAGCTGAGATGGTAGTGTGGTGATGGTAGTGTGGTGATGGTAGTGTGGTGGTGGTAGTGTGGTGATGCCAGTGTGGTGGTGGTAGTGTGATGCTAGTGTGGTGGTGGTAGTGTGATGGTAGTGCGGTGGTGGTAGTGTGGTGATGGTACTGTGGTGGTGGTAGGCTGGTGTGCTTGGCCGAACGTTCTTTTCTCCGAAGAACCCTTCGCTGAAGCTTTCGGGAAAACACCACATGCCTTGTACATTCTGTGACATATATATATATGTGTATTATGTGCTTTTTCATAAAAATATACATGTATGTATGTATGTATGTATGTATGTATGTATGTATGTATGTATGTATGTATGTATGTATGTATGTATGTATGTATGTATGTTGTATGTATGTATGATGTATGTATGTATGTATGTATGTATGTATGTATGTATGTATGTATGTATGTATGTATGTATGTATGTATGTATGTATGTATGTATGTATGTATGTATGTAACTGTAGATACAAATATAGACATAGATAAGTGAGTAAACATAGGAAATATATGTATGTAGATTATATGTATATATTCCATGTTCTACATGTTATTCCTTTCTTGCGCTGTAGGCTCTTGGCCCAAACTCAGCTTGTGGGGCAAATCCTGGAAGCTTGGAGAACTGCGTAGGTTCCCACCGACAGAGAAGATAGACATGTTAGGGTTTCAAAGTTTAGCTTGAGGGTTCTATGGTTAGGGGTTTCGGGTTTAGGGTCAATACACACAATGATTCCAGTCTTTGGCAGAAGAAGTTTTGAAGGACCGCGTGCAAAACCCTAAGCCCAAAACCCTAAACCGCAAACCCCAAACCCCAAACCCTCAGCCCAGCATCCGTGATCTTCAAGCTGCCATGATGGGGATTGAGTTGCAACTCGCTTAGACGCCTGGTCATGAGTCGGTGCGCCCGAGCGCATCTTTTCGATGGCGCCGGGAGCCCATGCGAGGTTTAGGGTTTCTAAACCCCATTTCAACCCTAATTAAACCCTAAACCCTAAACCCTAAACCCTAAACCCTAAACCCTAAACCCTAAACCCTAAACCCTAAACCCTAAACCCTAAATCCTAAACCCTAAACCCTGAACCCTAAGCCCCAAACCCTAAACCGTAAACGGGGCCACATCCTATTGTGTTGAAGGTCGCCAACCGAGGGCCCGATTCTTCTACGGCCTTGCTTGTTTTCAACTTAAGTCTTTGAAGCGAAACCACACCTAGGTCCCACCTTATCTAGTTGATAGGAGTTTAGGGTTTAGGGTTTATGGTTTAGGGTCTAGGGTCTAGGGTTTTTTGGGGTTTAAGGTTTAGGGTTTAGGGGTTTAGGGGTTTAGGGTTAGGGGTTTTGGGGTTTGGGGTCTAGGGTTTAGGGCTGGGTTCTGCACTAGCTCTTCGGCTCCGCAAGCAGTTATCCACTGCCCTTGCCAGCCACTGAATAAAAGACAGTAAATAGCAATAGAAATAGGAATAAGAAGAATAATGATCATATTAATCATAAGAATAGTGATCATGATCATAGGAAGGGTAATGGTCATAGTAAGAACAGTAGTGGTAAGAATGATAGTCGTAGTTATTATTTTTGCGGCTGCGCCTGGAGGTGGTTTTGTTGTTGCAGCCCTGCAGCCAAAGCTTGAAACCCTCCTGGGGTTTAGGGTTTTGGGTTTAGGGTTCAGGGTTTAGGGTTTAGGGTTTAGGGTTAGGTTGGTGCTGAGGAACCTGAATCTCCATGATTGGGACATGATACTATGTACTATGTCTATGAACCGAAACCCTAAACCCTAAAACCCGAAACCGTTAACCCTAAACCCTAAACCTTAAGCCCGAAACCCTAAACCCTAAACCTAAGCCCAAAGCCCTAAACCCTAAACCCTAACCCCTAAACCCTAACCCCTAAACCCGAAACCCTAAACCCCTCTGAGGTGGGCCCCATCAAGTTTCACAAGATCCGGAAGCAGAAGATGAAGTTGAGCCCGATGTTGCCAGGGACTCTGGAGGGTTTCCTGAGTTGCCGTTAAGCAACTCAAGTCAAGCTGCCATAAAGCACTAGGGCTTAGGGTTTGGGGTTTAGGATGACATAATCGGAGTCCAGTTTTTCGGGTCTTGGGCGCTGGGTTCGCAGTAGGGTTTAGGGTTTAGGGTCTATTTCGGGTTTTGGGGTTGATTAGGGTTTAGGGTTTAGGGTTTAGGGTTTAGGGTGTATCTCGGGTTTTTGTGCTTTACTGAGGTGTAGGGCTGATTCAGGGTTTAGGGTTTAGGGCTTTTGGGTCTAAGGGTCTTTGGTTTAGGGTAGAATTTCGGGTTTTTAGGTTTTGGGATCAGTTTGAGCATGGTTGAAAGGTTAGGCTGATATTAGTCGCGGCCCTGATCAAGAACATGCCCGAAACCCCAAGCCCTACACCCCAAACCTTGAACCCCAAACCCCAAACCCCAAACCCTAAACCCTAAACCCTAAACCCTAAACCCCAAACCCTAACCCTAAACCCTAAACCCCAAACCCTAAACCCTAAACCCCAAACCCTAAACTCTAAACCCTAAACCCTAAACCCTAAACCTAGCCCTCAACCCTAAACCCTAAACCCTAACCCTAAACCCTAAAACGCTTACCTGATGGCAAGCCCCCAACAACCCCATCCAAACCTTAAGTGTCGCCAGGGCTGTCGGAAGAAGCCCTGTACCCTAAACCCTAAACCCTAAACCTTAAACCCTAAACCCAAAACCCTAAGCCCTGTACTTACCTGGTGGGAAGCGCTGCGCACGAGGTACGGCTGGTATCACAACTCGCCCTGGTCGGCGTACAACAACCTCAACTGGCAGCCGGGCTCGATATGGTCAGCTCTCCAAATTGATGGTCTTATTTAGGGTTTAGGGTTCAGGGTTTAGGGTTTAGGGTTTAGGGTTTAGGGTACCATAAATAAGACGGGCCGCCTTACAATAAGGACCCGAAAAGGGGCCATAATTTAGAGAACCCTAAACCCTGAACCCTCCTGAACCCCAAACCCACGAAAGTGCGGGGAGATGTGACCATCTTATCTTTACTTTTAGGGTTTAGGGTTTAGGGTTTAGGGTTTAGGGTTTAGGGTTTAGGGTTTAGGGTTT